TATTGTTTTTGCATATGGCATTGAATATCATCCTTTCAAAATCTATAAAGAATTGTTTTGGGATAATCATGGGATTGTATTGGGTTTATAGATTACTTTTGGTAGGAAAGCCATTTTTACTGTGTTGATCCTACTGTTCCATTACCATAGGAGATATTTCCATCTTCTGATAGCTTCTTCAATTTCCTTCCTCAAATCCTTAAAGTTTTAACTATACAATTCTTTTAGTTGCTGGGTTAGAGTTACACTGAAACATATTATATTATTTGAGGCTATTGTGAAGGATACTGTTTTCCTGATTTCTTTCTCAGTCTGTTTTTCATTTGTATATAGAGTAGCTATTGATTCTTTTTGGAGTTAACTTTTTATCCAGCTACTTCTCTGAAGGTATGTATCAGCTATTGGAGTTCTCTGATAGATTTTTGAGGTCACATATGTATACTATCATATAATCTATAAATATCCATACTTTGACTTTTCCTTTCTAAATTGCATCACCTTGATCTCCCTTGGTTTTCTTAATGTTCCCACTAGAACTTCAACTACTATATTAAATAGATACGAAGATAGTGAACAGCCTTATCTTCTTTTTTATTTTTTATTATTTTTTATTTTAGAAGCACTCTTATTTACCTATAAATCCCCCCATACTCTCTCCCTCCCATCCTCCCATGCTCTCCACTGACCCCCCTACCCACCCCACAGCCACTCCCCAAGGACAGTGAGGTCCTAAATGGGGGACCATCAGAAATGGTCAACCTGACCTAGTGAGAGCATGCAGACCCTATTCATAAATCTGGGAAACCAGTATTGGACCGAACCAAGCCCTCTGAATGTGGGTGTCAGCTAGGAGGCCAGAGCAGTCTATGAGACCTCTAACAGTTGAGCTAGAGTTTATCCCTAGAGCACAAATGGACTTTGGGATCCCATTCCCTATGGAGGGGTATTATTGAAGACCGGATACAAGAAAGAGGACCTAGACCCTCCCCCAAATGATGTGATAGCCTTGTCTTCTTGATTTTAGAAGAATTGCACTGATTTTTCTCTCCAAGACAAACACACACTCACTGATAAGTGAACATTTGCTGTTAAGTAAAGGATATTCATGCTACAACTCACAGACCTAGAGAGGCCAACTAATAAGGAGGTTCAAGGAAGGGACACATGGAGATCCCTTGGAAGGGGACATAGAATACATTTTGTGAGGGGATTAGGGGTAGTTGGGAATAGAATAGGAGAGATTAGGTAGGGGGCAGGGTGTAAGTACTGGGAAAGAAAACTGGAATTGGGAGACCTTCGGGAGACAATGTGGAAACCTGGTGTAGTAGTAACTCTCTGAAATCTTCAAGAGTGTACCCTAGAAAACTATCCTAGCAATGGGGAATACAGAGCCTGAAATGGCCATTTTTTTTATAATCAGACAATGCTTCCAGCAGTGGGACTATGATACTAACCCAATCAAAAACCTTCAACCTACAATCTGTCCTGCTTCCAAGATGTGCTGGCTTAATGGTGGTGAAGAACTTGTATGAGTAACCAATCAATAACTGTCTCAAATTGAAGCCCAGGCCACAAAAGGGAGTACAGATTTGACATTGACTAGATACCTGGGAAATAGAAACTGGACCGGGAAATAGAGACTACCCTTCTACCCAAGGTAGAAGGAAACATGCCTGGGAAAATAATTCAATGAAATGATTCCTAATGATATTCTGCTATACTCATCGATCAGTGCCTGGTTCAGTTGCCATCAGATAGGTGACATCCAGCAACTGGTGGGAACAGATATAGAGACCCATAGGCAAAAACACAAGGCAAAGCCAGGGAAACTCAGTAGAAGGGGTAGGGGAAGGACTGAAGGAGCCACAGTTGTTGAGGACACTAGGAGAAGGCCCACAAACTCAACTAAGCAGGGATCCTAGAAGATCACAGAGATTGAAGCAACAATCATGGACCCTGAAATGGTTCATGATGGATTCAGCTTGGAAGGGCAGGTGCCAGATGTTTGAGGAATGCATTACAGTTATTGGTATTTTCCCAGGATATCATTGTGTGATGGTAGTATAAAGTATTTAGTACAAATGACAATGTACTTAATTATGTACAAGCATGTAAGTTCTGAAGACATTTCAATTAGAATGGTTTTCTATTTGATTACTGAAAGAATGATTTCATCAAATACAGCTTTTTTTGTCTTTGCTTTGTTAAAAAACAACCTTCCTTGAAGATGATTTGAAGGTCAATAAATAGAAAATTATTTTTTTCTTAGTCAAGGAATACATGAATGATAGCATTTTTATATTATGGTATTAACATACTCTGCTTTAATCATTATTTTTTTCTAAATGAATATTTACTTCAAATAGGAATTTTTCCTCTATTTTTGATGCATTCTGAAATGTTATTAAAAATATCATGTCTTAGTACTCATCACTTTGTGTTAATGATATCATTAAATGTTAAATTAAGTATAAGCTCTCAAATTTGTAGTTTGGGGGATAAATAAGGATTTGTATCATTATTAGATTCATTAAATTCTTAATAATAATAAACCAGTGGTCCTAATAGTTTTTAATTTCATTTTTTGTTGTTTTAAATTCCAAATGATTATTTTCTGTAGTGTTCCGTGTCAAAATTACTCATGTTAACAGCAATAGTTTTGTAGATAGAATTGGCCCAGATAATTATTTATAACTGAAAAACCTAAGATGAGATTGTCACCTTTCCTAGCCACATTTTATTTTATTACTGAGTGTACCCATCATCCACACCTAGTAAAATGTGACTTCAATTCCAGCATTTGAAAGGTGGAGGAAGAAGGATCAGGAGTTCAAATGCAGCCTCAACTATCATGAATTCAAGACAAGCCCATGATCCACAAGACCCTGTCATCAAAAGATTTCAGTATAGGGATGCTAGTGAATATTAAACTGCTGTGAATAGAGCATAAAGATTTCTTAAAACTAAAACTCTTCAATATAGGTCTTGTCAAAGACATATTTATCATGAACCCTGACTATGCAGCAACATCATCAAAAAGAGAAAAGAACAATTACATGATATTAATAATGGATTGGGAAGGAATTGGAGGAGAGGAAATAAAGAACAGGTGTTCTTCCAAACATATGCATATATGCACAAATATTTAAGAGAATATTTGTAAAATAATTTGAACAACTATATAATTTATTGTCTTGAGTCCAAACTGTGCTAACTCCACTATTTATGTCCTTAAATAGATTTCTTCTGCTGAAGAGAAAGGATTTAGAATAAGAAAAGTTTTTTATAGCTATCTGATTTACCAATAAATAGCTTCTGATGTCTCATATTATTTTCAACTTAGATGGACAAGCAGAGACTAATGGTATCTTAATATTGATTTTGTTTGGAAATACTCAGATGAGACAGATAATCAAAATAAGGATTTATGGAATTGTATTTTTTTTCTTAGCATGCTCTTGTGCAGTAGTCAGTAAATATCATAAGACTAGGATGAGATTTTGGTCTAAGTAGGCACTCACCTTTGCACCCAGTTCATTATAATGCAATTTCAAAGCTGTTACTCTTTCATCAAGCTCTTTGGGATTTTCTGTCTGCTTTTTCTGTACAATTTGACGTCCAGTTTTAATCACCATTTCCACTTCAGACTTCACTTCACTCAGGCTTTTATACAAATTCTGTTAAAACAAAAACAAAACATAAATAGTATTCAAAATATTGTGCATTATAATACCAGTACAAATACATAGAATATATTTTACTTTAGTTGCCCCTTTGTGTTAATAATTTAAATGAAATTCATTTGGTGGCTGCTATTTTATAATTTTTCTATTTTCTGTAGGAAACTCCAATATTTGAGATCATATAATATATGTGAGTAATTTGCAGCTATTCTTTTTAAAAATTAAAACAATCTTATTTTATGTACCAATCCCAGTTCCCTCTCCCTGCCATTCTCCCACTAATCACTTTATCTCCCAATCCGATCCCCATCCACTCCTCAGAGAGGGTGAGGCCTCCCATTGGATATCATTAAAGTCTGTCACATCATTTGGGGCAAGACCAAGGCCCTCCCCCTGTATCTAGGCTGAGCAAGAAATCCCTCCATAGGGAATGGGCTACAAAAAGCTTGCGTATGCACTAGGGATAAATCCTGGTTCCATTGCCAGTGGCCCCATAGACTGCCCAAACACCCGAAATGACACCCACATTTAGGGGACCTAATTAGGTCTTATGCAGGATCCCCAGCTATCAGTCTGGTGTCAGTGAGCTCCCACTTGATCAGGTCAGCTATTTCTCTGGGTTTTCCCAGCATGGTCTTAAGCCCTTTGCTCATCACTCTTTCCTCTCTACAACTGGACTCCAGGAGATCATCTCAGCAATTACTCATAAATTAAATGGACCATTTATAGTTAGTTCTTCAATCTAAATTCATAACTATTATTTCTAAAGGTTACAGGATTTCAATTTTTATTTAAATTAGAAACAAGCTTGTTTTACATGTATATCCCAGTTCCCTCTCCCTCCCCTCCTCCCCTGCTCCCCACCAACCTTCTATCCCATGCCCTTTCTGCTCGGCAGGGAGGGTGAGGCCATCCATGGAGATCTTCAAAGTCTGTCATATCATTTGGAGCAGGGCCTAGACCATCCTCCGTGTGTCTAGGCTGAGATAGTATCCCTCTATGTGGAGTGGGCTCCCAAAGTCCACTGTGTACTAGGGATAAATACTTATCCACTACAAGAGACCCCATAGATTGCCCAGACCTCCAAAATTACATCCACGTTCAGGGCGTCTGGGACAGTCCTATGCTGGCTTCCCAGCTATCAGTCTGGAGTTCATGAGCTCCCCCTTGTTCAGGTCAGCTATTTCTATAGGTTTCACAAGCCTGGTCATGACCCCTTTGCTCATCACTCCTCCCTGTCTGCAGCTGGATTCCAGGAGTTCAGTTCAGTGTCTATCTGTGGGTGTCTGCTTCTGTTAAGGATTTCATTGTAACTGCCACTTTTGCTCAGTTCTATCCATAATTCCATGAAGGAATTTACTCATTTTTCTGGTATAACGATTATCTACAATACACTAGAATATTTGCATTTTTGCCATGTTAATAATGGAAAAGTAAAAAATGTATACTGTTGTTCTCAAGGTGCTTACATTTAAGTGGGATAAAGCATCTGAATACCTCGATCGCTGTTTCCACGTATATAGTTTCACATAGAAACAAATGAATGAATCTTAAATATTTTAATTGAAAGTACAAAGGTATTGATACTGATAAGAATATAAAGCAATAGGAATATATTTCGTTCCATGTGTATCACAATTTATTGCCCGTACACATCCCTTTCTATAGGTTGTTGAGCATAACAAAACCTTATGAGCCAAATAGAATTCTTGAAGACAGCTTTAATTATCAATATACTGTCAAAGACACTTTGGTGTTACAATTTTTTTACTTATTTTATGTGAAATATATGAATTGTATGTGTATATGCATGCATATACACAGGTACACATATTCATGCCCATATATGTGCATATATATATATATATATATATATATATATATATATATATATATATATATATATATATATATATATATATATATATATATATATATATATATATATATATATATATATATATATATATATATATATATATATATATATATATATATATATATATATATATATATATATATATATATATATATATATATATATATATATATATATATATATATATATATATATATATATATATATATAATGACTAATAAATTTATGCATTAAATTGTTCCATGTTTAATCAAAATAATATTTTTTATTCTTACTATGAAAAATCTCACTAGTAGGTGGGATGTCCTTGGGATTAATTCAATTGTTTCTTTTTTTCTCTTTTTAGGTTTAAGCCAATGTGTAACAACCATAAAGGCATTTTGTCTGGTTATCTCTGGCAACATGAATAATCTGCTTTGATATTAATTCATCTTTGATGACATATTGGTATTTATCAATAATTGTGAATTCACTTCAAAGCTTTTCAATTTGTTACTTAATTTATATCTCAGAATATACAGAAAAAATCTGCACTCTTCTTCACATGGAAATTATTCACCTTTATGCTAGGACATAGTTATGCCAATTTGAAACCACTGATACATCTAAAGTAATTCCCTAAGTGAACTTGAACAAACAGCTTTCTGATTTATCATTGTGAAGAGATTTGACTTTCAGTACACTTAATGTAAACTCACTCTTTTTAATCAGCAAAAAATATTTATAACAAGGAAAATCTTCCTTTTCTTTGCGTTTCATGTTAAGGATACCTTTATTTTAGAAAAAAAGGTGTTATCAAGGAGTGGTATCACATGCTTCTAATTTTAGCAAATGAAAAATAGACACAGGATTCATGAGTTCAAGGTCCACCTCATAAAACAACATCAAGAACAACAGCAACCAAACAACAACAAAAAGGATTCTTGGTGACAAGGATATGGTTGTAGTATATATCATCATAAAGGGTATTTTAAAAAAAGAAAATATAAAATTTTTGAAACAGAGATTTCCTTACAGAAAAAAGGAAACGTATTAACATCACATCTAACATTTAAAACAGAACTAGAAACTGGCCAAGCTAATGCTTGTGCTGCTGTCTTTGTATAGACACAGTTGTGATCGTTTTGAGGTCATTAACTAGTAGATAAATGTTATGTGGCAAGACCCTGTTAGAAGAGAATGAACATCTGTCCCATTGCCAATGTAAGTAATGTGAACAGTATATTTGGGTCATTTTTATTTTTATTACATTTGAAAACTTTAAGGTAGGACCCCCATGTATGTATGCCTACTCTTACACATCTATTACCAGCAAATAACTACATAAATTTATAATCAAATAGTATTTTGGATGTTGAAATAAGTTAATGTAATTATTCCATCATTAAAATGCACCCAAATGATTGATATTATCAACAAAATAATTTAATTTTAATAACAAAGTTACACATTTATTTGAAAGTAATTGTTAAACAGGAAAAATTTATACATTTGTACAGCTACAACTGATGTACTTGTAAAGATATCTTATTGTTATTCATGGTATCAAGTAGATACCAAAACTTAAATCTCATAACACTAGATGAACATTTTATGCTATCAAAGGGGTTATCTGACTGACAGATTTTAAAGACTGATGAGATGTCACCAATGATATAGATTTATGCTATAGGGCAGTTGTATCTTTCCTTCTCTTTTATTGTTTCATTGTCTGGTGACATTTCAGTGTATATTCAGGACTGATATTTAATGAGAATATATTAGGATTTGGAGTACCTAGAATGAAATATGCTGTGCCCTTCACAATTGTTTGTCTTTAATTTTCTCTCAGACAATCTGTAACCTTGAGAATAAAGATGACTACTGTACATAATTTAGACTTACAGATTATCATTATTTCTAGAGCAGCTATAACCGTTACAATTAGTGATGCAGTTGCTGTTTCTACATTAATATATTTCCTTTCTTGATTTATGTTTAATCATATAGCTGAAGAAAAAGTGTATAAATAGGACTCTTTTGTGTTCTGTGCAGAAATAAACAAAATTATTGAGTCAAAACCACATTCCTAAAATGACAACAAATGATGATTATTTCTAATAAAACTCCTATATCTTAATACATTGCCATTTTTAAATATTAAAACTAGTTGCTAGAATTGTTACACTTGTAATAAACACATTCTGCTACAAAAGATTATCAGCTGCTTCTAATATAGCAAAGTGAAAATATAGCTGGAAATTTGCCAGGAGAAATACATACCACACAATGACTTAGTTGTGACTGGACTACTTCCTGTTCGACACTCTTTGTTTCCAGTGCAGGCAAGTGCATCTTTACTTCATCTAAGATCATCTTACTTTCCTCCAGACGCTGCTCAAAATTGGCTGGTTTTTGGAATAATCGAAATTTCATGGAGACATCTTGTAATTTTTTCTGCAACAGCAGAGTAAGAAAATGTTAGTTAATTTATTAACCAGTCATAATTTTCTTAATTTTCCTTATTCTGAAGTTTAACAGAATAAAAATTAAAAGAAAATACAGGGAAATTTCTCATGGTCTAGCACAAAGAACCTGCGGTTGGAGAATTTTTGTGCTTTATAAACGTGATACTAAATAGCCATACATTAACTTATCTTTAAACTGTACACAGTATTTTATATATTATATTCATAGATAACATGGTATAGTTTTCAGTTTTCTGATCACGAAGTTGTCTAACATATAAAACAAACGCCCCAGCTTATACAATAAAATATACCTGTGCAAGATCAATTTGTGAAAGAACTCTTTGGGCAGCATCCTTTCCCTGGTTATGTTTCTTCATTTCCTCTAAACTGATTTCATGACTTGTCAAATCCGATTGGATTTTCTGTTGGAAAGACAACACTATTAGCCAGAATACAGTTCATGTTATTGCAAAAGACAATTATCTTTCCAAGAATATGTAATTTAGGAATAATCTTTAATTATCAATAGCAACATAGACTCCTCAAGATTGGTAAGAATGTTTTAAAACTTCCCCAAATCATCAAAAAAGAAATTATTTTCTTTAAAATTGAGATTATTCCAAAAATCCTTTAGATAAAATTTTCAATAGAGAATTTATGTTTAGGTGTCATATGTAGAGTTGATCATAGTTTAGTTTTTAAGGTTTACTCAAATTTCACCAAATATAAAAATATCAAAATGCATAAGTAATCTAGTCCTGATAGAGGTGAAAAAATATAATGAGATTCCTATTGGGATATCATGTCCCATATTAATGATTTTCCCCATTCATTCTTTGGAATATTTCTGTTAAATTACATGGAATCTACTGATCTAGAATAAGCAGATTGTATTAGTTACTTTTCTCATTGCTGTAACCAAATGTCTGGTACAAAGAAGTTGAGGCAGTGTTGCCTTATTTTGTCTCATAGGTTTAGAAGAAACAGTCCATTATGGTGGCAAAGTCACAGCAGCTAAGATAATTCATCTATAACATGGAAGGTTGGGATATAATTTTCTTCATCACATAGTACAGACCAAGAGATTTAGACATTTGAGACTAGCACAAAGCATTCCCAAACCTCCAGAGGGCTACTCTTTTCCTATTTCTGTCAGCCAGGAGACAAATGGTGCAACCACCTCCCAAAAGTGTGCCACCCACTCTAAGAAGGAGATCAAACACAGGAACATGGAATACAATTCAGAAACAGAAAGAGAATCTAAGTGTCTTTACTGGCATTGGTTTCTGTCTGAGATACTTAATCAGTCCCCACAGCTATTGATTTTTGAACTTTAAATAAGCATACAATATTTTAAACAATTTTCAACAAGTTGTTGGAATTTTGGTCTGGTCATTTAACTGTCTTGAGCAAAAGAATAAGAACACAAGAAGTAATCTGCCTGAAGTGGTGAATGTTCATAAAAAGCTAGTTACTTTGTACTTCTACCTTTGGTGGATGTTCATTCTTAGGATAGTCCCTCTTAAAAGCATTTTATGCTCTATGAACCTTAAACCATACAGAGGGTCTGCAGAATGTGTTTTCAATAAATCATCCAGGCAAGCTGTCTGTAGACAACTTCATGTGAGAGAGCCTACATAAGCATGTAGGTCACTAAATTAATAGTCAGAAACCTACAAAAATCTTATTAGATAATGCAAGAAAGAACCACCAGCTGAACATTTTTAGTTCACAAAATTACTACAGATTATAATAAATGGCTGCTACCAATACCATAAATTTTAATTTCTTTAAAATTAAATTTTATTTTTGCCTTTATCACCTGTGACGAATTCCTGTATATGTAACAACAAATATTTTCCTTCATTTTTATTTTATTTAGTTAATTAAATTTAATTGTGCATATCTTCATAGATGAGTGTAACATTATAACTAAAAGTAATTCTAGTTTGGGAAAAACAAATTTGGTATGAATTTAAGTAAACTTTAAGTAGCAATCAAGAATTAAATATCATCTTGTTCTAAATGAACAGTATGATGGTGAGGCTGCCAAAATAGATTGAACTAAGAACTGCTTAGTAGATTAGTGAAACACACATCTCCAGTAAAGATGTTTCTGGAGATTAACTAAAATTAACTGCGGGTGATAAATCCACCCTGATGATGTTTGCTGTGAATCCATTCAGTTTCAATTCTGAATAAAATACAGAGGTGAAAGGAGAAAGCCTGCTGGTTAGACATTTCTTTTACTCTCTGCTGACCCTGATGAAATAACTAGCCTTCTTTTCCACAAGAACCCGACATTATTTTATTAACTCCTCTTCAGGGAAATAATAATGAAGCCAGAGAGAAAGAACATAGACGAAAATTTCAGTGCCTGTAAGCCCAAATAAAACTTCTTTTAATTAAGATGTTTTCCTCAAGTAGTTTTAGGAACAGAGGGGGAAAATGTGATGAACATAATTGGCTTTTATTATTTTTAAAAATAAAGGTTTTTTTTATTTGAAGATGATAAAAAACAATTTAAACAATTTTCTAAAGGCATCAGAATGTAAAACAAATACATGACCCTCAGACATATTCTTATGCATTAGTAGTGAACTGGCTGAGCATGAATCCATGAAATCAATAATATTTGCCATACATAGTAAATAAATTAAGTTAAAGAAGTTATTAATTCTATTAATTAATTTCATCAAAAAGGTGAAACTCCTCTACAATGGCAACACCAAAAGCATGGGTGAGGGAAACTTGAAGAAGATAAACAAAAAATGGAATGGTCTCACATAGCCTATTGGCTTTTTGAAAAACAGCACAAAAAATTAATTTGGGAGAAGTACAGCCTGGATATCAGCATGTAAAACAAATCAAACTTGACACATTATTATGCAAACTTAAAAAGGAAAGAGCTCTAAATAAATAAGACCTATTCTAAAATCAGATAATCAGATAATCTGAAAGCCAAGTAAGCACTTCAAGACACTCCTGTAGCCATTACTGTTTTTTCTTTTAACTTGTAAGACATGAACATAGAAGCACAGAAACCAAAAGCAAAACAGGATGAAAGGGTTTACAAAAGCCTAGAAAACTTTTTCACAGAACAGGAAACAATCAACAGATTGAAGAGACAGCTTAGAGAATGTGGGAAGATATCTGCCAATAATTTTTCTGACATTCTGAGTAGTATTGATATTCAGAATATGAAAGGAAATAAAAATGAAACAAATAAGGAATCATATCAAAATATTTTAGTCATATGTAAAGGCATTTATCAAAAATTAAATATAAGTAACAAAGAAATGTGAAAATGCTCAAATAGGTATCATCTCACTCCAACCTGAATCTTGATTATTTACAAAAACTCAAAAACAAGTACTGGTGAGTATACAGAAAAAATGAACTCATATACTGATGGCAGCAATGTAACTTACTATTACTAATATACTTGACAATACAGAGGCTCTTTAATTCCCTATAAATATAATTTATAATACCATTGCCTTACTCCCAAGTATATATCTAAAGTCATTAAATTCTACATATAAAATAGATTGCTACATATTCATATTTATTGTCCCAATATTTATAATAGTTAAGATATGTATTTTGCTTATTTGTTCATCAAGGAATGACTATATAAATAAATAAATACACACAATTGAATGTTATCAAGCCATATAAAAATGATATCCTATCATGGGAAGCTAAATGGATGTTTATATTAAATCACCTTGCTATATAGAAATACTATATGATAATCAAAATCTTAAAAAATATATAGTAATTACAGAAAATGTTCAACTGATTGTTGTCATAGGTGACCCTGGATAAGTTTTCTGAGTACAAAGCACCATATTAGAGGGTGTAGAGGAGGGGATAAGTTAGGGGTATGCTGACACTTGGATAGTAATTGTTGTTGAAGATAATAATGGACTCTCAGAGGAACAATGGTGATTGAACTGATGATCATTTCCAGAGAAATATTTTAAGGAAATTTGATTATTACTTAGTCCTCTGTTGAGTACTACAGATATATCTGCTTAAAGAAGAAAGCTGGCTTGCCTAGGAAATTATATACAAAACAACCTCAGCCAACAAATTACATCAGTTACTAAAGTCTCCATGCAGAACAAAAACAATACAAAAAGATTCCATGACTCCTCCAAAGATTATGAATCTCATAACAATGGCTCCCAATGAGAAAGACTTAGACAAACTTATAAATAATTTAAAAGAATTGTGATAAATATTATCAAATAACTCAAAGAAGACACAAACATCCTCTAAGAGAACACACACACACACACACACACACACACACACAATTCAATAAGAAAGTAAATTTGAGATATGAAAGTAAAGTTCAATAAAGATATAACATGATGATGGAAGTGAAAAAATTAAGTCTAACAATAACAAAATGTAGTATGAATGCAAGAGATTATCAGAGCTTGAAGACAAAAAAGATAATTGAATTATTTTGTAAAGGTCAATGATTTCTTTTAATTTATAGAAAATGGGAGTTTTATAATACCACAAAAGATCAGTTTTTCCAATTATGGGTATGGAAGGAGAATACCAGGCTAAACACATATAAAACATTTTGTGATAACAGATTTCTCATGTTTTCAAATAAACTATATAATTTTCATGATTTATAAACAACAGAAACAATTCAAACTTACCAATATGCAACCAGAAATGCAATGTCCATCTGCCACCAGGGTACTGAAGGACCAGGTAGCATGGCAGAGGAGGTTGGGAAATTTGAATACAATGCATAGTATTTCAGAGAGACAGTTTGAACTGTTCATATTCACAGGAAATAATTATGCCACTGAGAAAATGAATCTTTGTATTGTTCAAAATGTTGCAAGCATTCAAATATTAAATGGACAGTATAACTCATAAAGTGCATCATACAAAAGTGAGACTTTGTCAAAATATATGTGATTTTGTGCCAAGTTGTCACTTAATGGCACTGTTTCAAACTGATTAGAGATTAAATTTTCCTCATTTATTATGTAGATTGTGCATATAAAACAAAATCAGTGGTGAAATAAAGTTTGTATATTAAATATAAAGATGTTTATATTGCAGAAAATCTCAAACTATAATTATATATAAAAAATGAATCTATTTTATAAATTCTGAATTAAATGTTTAAACATTTCCAGTTGATTCTACCTCAGCAACACTATAGGACATGTGATGCATTTTTATAGCATTTATCTAGCATTTTATAAATTAATGTAACATATTTCAAATTAAAGTAATAATTTGTACCTACTTTATACTTACCTTTTACATTCTAGTTTATCAAAATACTCTTCTTAGACCATGTCATTTAAAAACATAGTTTGAAAGAATATTGTTCTGAAACATAACTGAACTGCTGGAATAATACATTCATAAAGGA